TTCAGTAAAGGTCTGAGCAACCTGGTCTAGTGGAAGGTGTCCCTGCCCACAGCAGGGGGCTGGAACCAAATGATCTTGAAAGTCGGTTCCAACCCAGGTTGTTCTGTTATTCTATGATTCTATGAATCTGGGCCACAACAGGAAACCTTCCCTCGCCAAGACTGACATGTGGCATGTAAGACTTTTGCCTGTGTCCTGGTATAACTGTAGAAAAGGATTACTCCCCTTTTTACCACAATTCTAAGTCCTCTTGAATCAGTAGCAACATTCATGAACAGTAGGCTGCACTGATGGGAGGGTAATTTGTCATATTTTGTTCAAAGTGTTATCCACAGTAAAGAATATGCCCATTTAGATATGTTGATGTAACCACAAAAACTTTCCTTAGTTAAGAACTACTAACCAAGTCCACAGCTAGCCCAAATGGGGCTGGTTTTCACTGTAAACAGTTGAGTTGCAGGAATTTGTATCTCAGCCATACAAGCCATCCTGAAAACTAAATTCAAGATAATCTTCTTCTGGCACTAAATCCAAAGTGGATTAAAAGTATATTTTTAGAAACAATACATTTGTCAGGTGACTGGTTTAAAAATTTTAGAACAAAGGAACAAAGAACTGGAAATCTTCCAAAGGAAGAGATAATTCAATGATTCCCTATATAAATCTAACATTTTTTCATCTTTTATAAATGGAATTTTGCAGGTCATTAGTCCCTTAATGTAGTATTGCTATCAGTTGTAAGGGTTTTGTGTGTATGTGAGTGTGTGCAAAAAAAAGGCATTAAAATGGTTGAGATATAGAGAAAATTGACTGCTGCATAGTCACCACTTTTCATAAAGATTTTTACTACACCCTTGGTATTATGGATCTATAATATGCAAATGTGCAGCATCATTAATATGCATTTGCTGCGTACACCCTCCTTAACAGAGTATGTTATGGGAATACAAATTAAAAACAATAGACTCGACTCAGCTAAATTTTAATGGCCCATTGTACGAATGATCCCTGATTGGGAGGTACCTAAGCCCTTTGTCTTCAATACTTCCCTTCCTTCCTCTTATCTATTCTCTTTATTTGTTCTTGTTTTCACTGGCACCTCCATAGCGGAATTAGTTAAATCTCATCATAAAAACTAAAGTAATATGCAAGTTCCTTGTTACCTTCAGTGGAGGTAGCTGGCACAAGAACAGAAAACTGAGATCTAGAAATGAGTTCAGCCAAGAGTGCCCATGGTGGAATAAGCTGTGCAGTCCAATCTGCTAGGTGCATATCTCCTGAGGTTACTTTGGCTTGTGTTTGCTGCTGATGGGAGTTTAGGCATTACCTAATGGAGGTGAGTCACCTAAGCATTTCCCCTGACACACTTCTCTCCTCGTCTTCCCTTCCTGGCTGTTCGTCCAGTGAAAAGAGCCTTCTGATACCTTCCCTTCATCCAACACAACCTCTCTGAAGAAATAAGATAACTTTGTCTGGCAAACCAGACCAAGAGCTGTCTCTGGGAACCTGAAGATATGGACTCAGGTATACAAGTGGCTTAAATTTTAACTTTTTGATTCTTTACCAAGTTTTGCCTTCTGATTCTCTACCAGAGCTGGCACTTTTGCAACAGGGGCATAACCACAAAACATCTGTAAAACACTGCAAATTACAGCCCATCATTTTAAAGTCAGGTTTGACCTAAGCTGAGCTTCAAAGTAAAGCCTTTCAGGAGACAGTGCACAGGCAACTCAGACGGGGACACTGCTGGCACTAGAGAAAGCAGATGCCACCCGAAATGAAGTTACCCATCCTCATTAGCCAGTGCATGCAGTCAAACCTAATAATGAGCTTACTGTTCTCATCAGTGCTCTTTGCCTGCAGGCTCCAAACTTTGTAGATCAGATGCACCTCCAAACCACACTGTGGGGACAGTGTCATCTGACAGCAGTTGTGTCAAGAATTGGTAGGGAAGGTAATTCTTTCCACTACCCTGGTTAAATCTGTCAAGGAATTAGGTTAAAGTCCTTAGTGGACACTAAGTGTTTAACATACCGCCAGTTTATCCTCAGGTGTTTAAGGCAAACCTTACATAAACTGAAAAATTAAAAAACAACAACAACAACAAAAACAACAACAAAACAAAAAAAGAAAACAAAACAAAACAAAAAAAAACAACCACCAAAAAAACCCCTCTACAGGCTCCTTAGTATTATTTTAAGGGATGCCAATGTTATTTTCCTTTACTTGGCAATGACTGTCCCAGAGCTTAATCCTTTCAAAATGCAATGGGGAGAAAAATAACGCAGCAAGATGCACTCTGCTGTGCTAATTGGGCTTCCCAATATGGTGTGAGGACGTTTGTCGCTCAGCCTGCTTATTCAGTGCTGCATATTCAAGCTGTTTCAGCAGGTCTAGCTACTCTTATGGGAAATTAAGCTGCAATCAGATTCTGCAGTCATCCAGGTCTAGACTGTAATATTGATCACAGAACAGACAAACTGAAGGAGTAAGGTTGAAGTGGCTGCTTTGTATAGGTGCACAGTTACTTGACAGAAAATGATCTTTTGCTGATGCAAATCTGCTATGTGAGGCATACTGTGGTTGATTCCAAAAGCTATGGAGCAGTTGGGAAGCCACTGCATAGGAAATATTCAGTTTATTTTAATTACGTCTTTCTCATGTCACCTTTTCTTAGTCAGCCTTGACCATGAATCTGAGTTACACCAAACTGTGCAGTTTGGTGTAACTCAGGATCTATTCAAGGTTTACAACCATTAATTACAATGTCTGTCATGGAAATTTCATCACAGATGTGAATGAAACAAAAAACATGCTGCCCTGATGCAAAGATTGCATAATTTTTGATGGACTTGCTCCATTCCCAAATTTTTTTATAAACCTCTTCATGCTTTGAACTAATTTTATCACAACTATAACTGAGATGTTGACTGGTAAAGCAGGAATGGGGTGACATAATGGATCCAAACCTTTTCTTCTCCCAGTTTTCAACTAGCTGATGATTAGATGTAAAATGTAATATTGATAATGTTCTAGGTGTTTTAGTCCAGAGACGAGTGGAAGTGGGTATGTAATGTGAACTGATCTCTATTTTTATACAAATAATGCTGGCTAGGATTGGGTAAGAATCTATATTAAAATAAAGAGCTTAAACACTGAGGAATAAAACACAGATTGAAATTCTAGAGGGCAAATGATGACATACATAAAGATGATAGTTGTAAACTAGTATATTATTACCTCACAACCATAAGTTCCTAACAAAAATTATTAAATTACCTAAGAAGTTTTTTATTCCTAACTAATATTTAGAATGTGCATTATACAGGCAACTCAAAGAAAACTGACATAACCACTGAACTGACACAGTAAACCTAGTCTGGAAAAAACTATAGTATGCACTACTACAAATGAAAAGGAAAGGACTCTTAGTGAAGATAATCATGGTTGTGGATTTTAAGAAACCTCAGAAAACATTACTGTCCAAATAACTTCTGATGTTATCTTAAAATCTCTTCTGAAATCACAACATCCTTCACATAATGTTTTCTTTTGTGAAAACAATGACCAAATTTCATATATATGCTGAAATAAAACAAGCACATACAAAATAAGCTCTGTTTGAAACTATGATTTCCTTTGATTTCTCATTCTTGATAAACCCCAGAGTTAACAGAATTATTGATTAATTTCAAAGAGATTCAAAGGGATTTTAAATGCACTTAACTACTACTTAACCTACTCTTAGAAATATCTGATCCATTACTTCCTTCTCTCTGAAGAAACGTCTGTGAAGAAAATCCCTCAATAAAAACTGGTAACTTCTCAGAAGAGATTCCCCTTTTCACATCTCCATAGTGCCTGGTAGCAATGAGCACTGTTTTCTTCCTAGGTGGAACTGCTAGAACCCTCACTCTAGTGGACTACAACAAGGCTTACTGACAGCAATCCTCAATGTTTGAATGACTTTCTAGCTCTCAACAAAAAGACTTTGTGCCAAAATTCTTTCTAGGGCCTAAGTGATGCCAAAAATCTTTCCCTCAAAATTTAATTCCATCCAGCAATTAGTGAATGCTCTAGCAGAGCCTGTGAGAGAGGCAAAATGGTTTGCATGTCAGAGAACCATCAGTTTCCACCCTGTGCCTGAGCTAAAGTTTAAAAGTTCATATGAGCATCACTACACTTGTTGGAATAAAAGAAGCAAAATGAGCAGTATCGAGTAGAAAACCTAAGAGACCAAGAAATTTGCTGCAATAACCACCAGAATGTCAGTGCAACCCCTACAACTTACAGCAGAGAGATAGACTTTCAGCAGAGAGATATTTTCCTTAGAGAGCTAAAAAAATGCCAAGTCCAAGCTGAAGGAGACTGGTTCACAGTAATAATTGAAAATCCCCATGCTCCAATCTAGAGTCAATTCACCTTACTGCTGTAAAATAAAATAAACCAGCAGTTGATAAGATTAATCATTCAGTCTTCCACCCATAAGAGGAAGACGGCAGGTCACAGTGATCCTAGCTGAAGGCAAAAATGACTTCTTCAGTGAAATTTCTGTGTTTCCATGTAGACTTTTTGTTCAAAAGATATAAAAGATCATGTGAAAAACAGTGCACAGGGAGGCTCAGTCTGGTCTGCCTGAATTGGCTTTGAAGCACTGGTTTCTGAACACTTGCTACAATTAACACGTCCCTTTCCTCATTAATTTTGGACCCAGCTGGTTCAAGCCCTGTAAGGATAGCTCATCTGGCACCCTGATGAGATCAGTGGAGGAACATAAATACAACAGAAGCCACTGCCATCAAACTAAGCTGCTTCTTCAGCATAAGAAAATAACTAATTTACATCAAAAAGTGATATTTCCGTTTCTTATTCTATACCCATTAAAATCAGCTGGATATTTTCTCAATATTCAGGGGAAAAAAAAAAAAAAGCCAGTCAATACAGCACAGCACTAGTGAGGATCAAAATAGGACAGGAGGAAAGCTAGTTCAAGCTCAAGCTCTTTTTTTTTCAACTGGGATGTTCTTGATTTTATTTCTGAAAAGTTGCAAATATATTGAGCCAGAAAATATGCTCAAAATTTCATAAATAGTAGACTCAATATGTACAGACATTGTTTTTCATTCAAAGGTCTTAAGATGTTTTACAAAAATTGATTAGATTCCAGTGCATCTGAGAATGTTATCCTACTCATCTGACAGAAAAAAGAGAATGATATCAATTGCTAGTGGCAGAAAACAAGTCTGTGTCATAGCCTGGGCCAAACCCCAGAAATCCTGGCCTCTACTTGTAAGGGGATGTTACAGTCCACTCCAATGACTCTGGAGGTTGTAAAGACCTTGTTTGCATATTCTAGGCCATACATACACTTATTTATTAAAAAAAAAAAAGGCAATAAATCAGCTATTAAGTTTTTCAGGAAGCAAATGTTTTTATCACTTTAAACAATTGCTCATTAAAAGACTTGAAATAGGTTTGTTTTATCAACTTATTTCTTTTTGAAACAGAAACAGAGACTAGAACGACACTTTTTCATTAAGCTGGCAGCCACTGCAACCCTTGTGCCTTGAAAACAGCCAAGCCTTCCATTTCTATAAATTATTTCACACAGCCCTGTTCAGTAGTGACTGTATTGAAGAGTTTATAATACTTGTACTTCCCGTGGATAGTGATGCCTCTCCTTGACAAGAACCCTGCACGGAGCTCCTCTGTCAGCAGCTGAAGCCCAGGGAGAATGGCACCCCGCTGCAATCGTGAGAATGCAAGGACTTCCAAAGCTGTTCAAAACATTTATTATGGGAAGAAAAACTGTTATGCTGAGTGAAATCTTACATGTTGAAAAAGTCCAAATCTTGAGAAGCCTGTGTTCAGCCAGCTTAACAGGCTGGGAGGGCATTTGTCCTGAGGCAAATGATCACAGTGTCAGCCCAAGGGAGCCTTGCTCTCCTGAAATTTATCTGGAATACCACAGCAGATGAATCACTCTTCTGGTAAAAATGTCCCTGTGTGTACTATTAAGAAAGAAAACGGGACTCTGAGTGAATTTAGTAGATCTGCAACTGGAGTTGAGTAATGTGGCCAAGCCCCAGATTTCAGCAACACAGACTACTCTGCCCTCACACTACTCGTAAACAACTTCTTTCCTTGCTGCTTTCCAACCAGTTCACTTCCCTTTCTAATCCCAGGAAGTCGCTGCCCACCTTTAAATGCTGAAAGATATATTTTAATCAAGTGGAGAACTGAACAGTAGCATAATTTTACTTAAAGCACACAGCAAGCCACACTTTAGAGCTATTTGGGGAAGAAACTAACCGCAGCCAGGCAGCCCCCCCTTGCAGAGTTCAGGCTGGGTGGTCATTTGAGCCGAGGACAACACAGTCAATTCAGACAGATGGCCACTAAGTCAGCCCAGCGTGTTTGGGGAATATCCAGGGTGTCAAAAAGGAGATGTACACCTTCAACTCCCTGCAGCTTGAGCAGCCTAGACCTGCAGGAAGAAATTTATCTTTTTCCTCTTCAGTAGCTCATTTGGGAAAAATGTGCATCAGGAAAAATGCAGTTCAGGCTGAATAGACATTTTTTCTGCCAAAACATGTGTGTGCGTTAAGATTGTCAAAGCAAAATATTTTAAATTTTAAAATTCTCTTGATTTTTTTTCACCCAATATCATTTGAAGAATGTAATGTATATTTGTAAGAAGCTTAAGAACTCCTTTCTATTGTGACTTTACCATTCTTCATTACCCCCTCTACTTGCTCTGCTTCTCAGTCCATATTTTTTCAGATTTCACACATTCTCTAGGGTTTATGTGCCATGGATATGTTAAGTGCTACCTAATCAGAAGGAGATGGGACACACTTCTCCTATGCTCCTCAACAGCCATTTCAGAAGATGGAAAATGGGGAAAATTGTCTTTGATCCATTTAAGGCATAGTGAGACACCCAGAATATTTGGTGAAGAGGGCAATCTCTACATGCTGATGAAGACCCATAATTGAAAGAAAGATGGACTCCCACTCTCAAAAGGCAAGGAGTAAATGAGGGACAGGAAGAAATAACACTGTATTAAAGGGGTAAATTCAAAAGCTGAAAAACGCTTTAGTGAACGGTGAGAGCTAAAGTTTATCATTAATACTATATCTAGATTTAATGCTGTGCTCCTAGGTAGTTTAAAAATTGCAAGTAAATCTTTAGCCCTGATTCAGGAGAACATGAAGACATCAGAAAGCACATTGCTTACTCTTTTTCCTTTCATCTTGTTTCTTTCTTCCTCTTTTTTTTCCTCTTGTGCAAGTGACCGGGTATGCTACCCTCTACTGCATCAGTGTCCTCCAGATGATATCCATCCTCAGGGCGGGGGAGGGAAATGCCACATCTAAAAGTCTGAGATATACGTCACAGCTACTGTCCAACCAAGACACAGAGATGTGACAAAGTCCCCATCATACTTTGTCATTTCATGCATGTCATCTCAAGGTCAATAAATCCCACTACTTGCTAGCTGCAGCCACTGAAATTAAAATTAGTAGGCTTTGGGTCCCTTTAAATATCACAGAGGGAGGCCCAAACCTCTTTAACCATAAAGATAACATCTGCCTCAAAAATGGAAAGCCAGAGAAAGAAAACCCAGACAAAACCACTTGCCTGAAACATGGAAACACTGGGCTACTCATTAAATACAGAAGATATTCATGTAAGAGAAAAGCTTGTAAGAGAAATTTTAAAAGCCCTTAAAATATAGGGGGTTTTTTTATATCTACATTCTCTGTATCTTATATTTTTACAGATATGTTAAAAAATAGTTATTTGTAATGTATCTAGAAATGTCAGAGATTTATCAGGGTCATTTGGAAAGTTAGCAAAAAGAGGTCACGCATCCAATCACATTAATATACTAACGTGCCCAGCAGTAGATTATGTTAATTTTTACAGTAATTTTTAAGATTTGTAATGCAACACATTACTCTATAGGATTTCTAAGCCTTCTCAGAGCTTATTAGTCTGCCTTTATAAACCAAATGTCAGCTTTATCAAAGTCAGACATTAATTACTGGCAATGGGCGAACCTCATAAGGTTCAGAGGTTTGGTCTAGTTTGACTAGACAGGCATAAGACCAGCTGCTTGTGCAGATCATTTTGATGGCAGATTGGACTCCTGATTCTGTAAATGTTACACACTTATGGAAATGTGAGCATGCAGACAGAGTCCACAGCGCTCGAGGAGAATACTGAAGTGCGTTGAGCTCAGCAAACACGGGGCTCCCTGACTCATCAGTGTCAGACTGCAACATCCCAAACTTCCCACATCACTGAATGCTGCAGTGGAGGTGACAGAGCAGTGCACTGTAATAAAACATCCACAGGGAACTGGGAATATAACTATAAAAAGGAGAGGAGAGGGAGAGGGGGAGGGAAACAGAGAAAGAAGGGGTTATCTATTATATGCCAGAGTATTACACTAATGAGGAGACAGAGAAGCCACACAAATATTCCAGGACAGACCTGTATAGATTTGTATGAACTAAATGACACATTAGGAGCTATAAACCTGGGAGTCTGCACCCAAATCAATATATTTGCAACTGCTGTGCTTGAGCTGAGGAGCCCAGCTTCTTCTCAGGGCTTATTGGCTCAACCAGTGACTTACTGTTCCAGCAGAGCACACCAACATGGCTATATGGCTTTTGGGATGAAGCCTGCAATAAAGAATACTGGGTGTGCCAGCATAAGTCAGTGAAGACAGGCCTGAGGGGCACGTGTGAGGAGCTGAGCTTTGGCCTGGAAGTATGATTACTTACAAGAAAACAAGAAAGTTCAATTTGTTTCTGTACTTCCGCGAGTAAGCAGGGGAGTTTTACTACATGACAGAGATTTACTAGGAAAATCTGTGAACACACTGAGTAACCAGCAATAGGATTTCACCAGCTAATTCTCTTGCATGTCTTGCAACAATAGTCTTTCCACAGAGCAGAGCTACAGTGCTAGTTCTTTTTCTTTTTTTTAAACCTCAAGCTGTTGTCCTACTTAAATATCTCCATTGCTACTTGTGGGAGCCATAGCAGACGATAAACATCTCCACTCTTCTTTACTGCTTATGAGTGGTTCATCTCTCTTTCCCCTCCTCCAAGTTCCACCTAACACTATAGTTTCTGCACCAACTGCAGGAGCAGGCAAAGATCATCAGCAATCTTCTCACAGTTTTCTATTGTAGAGTGCCTACATCTTCCCCATTAGTGTGTGGAGATGGCCAGTGGCTGAGAAAACATAGGTTTAGGTGAATCTTAAGTTCACATCAGCCCAGCTACACCTGTGTCCTCAAGTAAGCACAGGGGAAGATGTTTTAAGCAACTGCGTCAAAATCCAAGTCAGATGCTAGTATCATTATAGCAGAAAAAAACAGCAGAAAGTGAGAGGGTGGATGGCATTACAGCCATCATGAAAGCAGCAGTCAGTGGTGGAGCAGATGTGATTTCAAACAGAAACAGGCAGTGCAGAGACATATGGGCCTCTGAGCAAGCTGCAAGACAGAAGATGTTGCTCCAAAGCTGGTGAGGCAGATGGTACTGTGATGGGAGAGGTCTGCAGCAACACTGGCAGCAGCAACAGATGCTGCAGCTGTCTCAGAACAGCTGGGTGGTCAGTGTTTAAGATGCAGCTGTAGATGTTCTTTGTTTCTGAATTCCTAGTGGTCACCACTTGCTGAAAGTGGTAAGTAAAAAGTAAAAGCAAGTGCTTTTACCTTTACACGATAATTTCCGCAAATTACTGGATGTAGAACAATGTCATGGCACTGACACCAGGATTACATTTCTCAGCAACGGCCAGTCACTTCTCTCTTTCACAACAACTTTAACAGGCCATTCAATGAAGGGAAAAAGACAATAAAGAGTTTCTGTGAAAAATCCTACCTATACCATTTATACTATTCTGTGGATGAGAGTATCTTACACCCCAGACATCTCTGTGAATGTAGGCTTTTCTCAGCTGGAGGGGAGAGCGACTGTGACACTTGCTGAAGCCATCTCCACAGACTGAGTTGCTCCAAAGTTTTCACCCACTGAATGTCTCTGTCCCCATCCTGGGTCCTCTTTCAGCCTTGTGAAAATCGTCTGTTGTGTCCAGAGAGAGACTATTTCATCAGATAAGTAGTAGAAATTATGCAAGTCTTTCCCAACCATGGCACCAAAGTCTGATGGTTTGGGACATATCAAGCAAAAAAAAGACAATATTCAAAGCATATAATTTTATCATGCAGTAGTCTGTGTTGTTCAATATCCTTTCTCAGAAGCCATGGATTCAATATGAGCATCTGGACTTGCCCAGTTGAAATGGATAGAAGACAAGCTTGAACACTCAAATCCAATGATTTGTGAAACTGAAAGTTAAACAGAAAAATAATACTCTCCATGGTCCTTAAGATCTTGGAGAAGAAAGAGTGGATACTACAAACATGCCAATTACAAAGACAGGTTTGTGAGTTTAGGGCTTGTTCCTTTATGCAGGACAGTCCCAGATCTCTGAAAAAAGGTGATCTTTCTGTTCACTATCTATCAGAAATATTTGAACATTTCTTAAAATCATTTATAGGTCATTCTAGACAAACATTTCCAAAGTGTGTGTACATTTGATGAAGGCTGGATGTTAGCACTCAAGAAGTAACTTGAGTCCTCTTAGTTACACCGTAATAATTGATATGACAAGCTCCGAATTTCTTCTTTTCCCTCTTCCCCCCCCCCCCTCCTTCATTTCTAACTGTAATTTCTATTCAAATGAAATCTTAAATATTCTGCCCTGACCTTTGCTGGAAGGAATTTAATTACCTGTGGAGTTTACATAAATTATATGGCCTGTTTGTTTAAGATTAATACTACACAGAGATCAATAGAGCTTCTTGCAAATGCCACCAAAGGTCACAAAAATCTTTCCAGAAAAAGAGGGTGAAAGACATGGTGTGACACATTCCTGTCCTCAGTCCAATGTATGTCACTGCCACTGCCTCTGCAGCCACTCAGGGATGATTTATCAGCTGATAGAGGACACTTGGTACAAACACACTATAAAAACCAGCTGAGTAAAATTAATTGAATGCAGTGATGACTACAATTCATCATTCTCAAAAAATGGCTCAAAAATGTGAGAAGGATGATACATTGACCATAGCACAGATAAACTGCCTTTTCATATTACTCTTTGGAAACAACCTCTTGCTGCCACAAAAGCAATGCCAGTTTCCCTGTGGAAAAGACAACTCTTGGATTGTGACATGGAGAGGACACACAGAATATGCATAGTCAGAAGACTCATTAGAAATGACATGCTTGTAACTTGGTAGAGCTGTTTTGTGTGTGCCCTAGGAATGTTTACCAGCAAATTAGATTTAATTCTCATATTAGATTGACAGAATTAATGCACTGAAAGTGCAACACAGTCAACATTTCCTGGCTTATCAAGGCTAGATGGAATACCAAGAAAAGTTTTCCCTGTGTTAAAAAGAAGCTGGGTTGTGACAATGCAGAAAAGAGAAAAAGTATCTTACCTGCTAGAACAGCGATGTAAAAAACCTCCAAAGACTGTTCTACACCTGACTCAAACCTTAGATTTCAGTGTAGTTTTCCACTGAGAAAACCTCTGATTTTGACAGTAAATGACTGTATTCAGACCCTCACCAGAGCTAAGCACCGTATGCAAACCCTTTTGCTAATATTGCCGATGAGGGCAGATTTTCACAAGTGCTCACAAACTAGCATCTCCCACCGTGAGAGATTTTGAAAGAGATCAGTTGTCAATGTACACATTTCTTATCACTTCTAACCAATTAGCTCTGTGCCAAATTAGGAACAGAGCTTTTATGAAAATCAGATCCTCACTGTTGTAATTAGCAGAGTGTTGGTTTGTTTGGGTTTTTTTATCTGTAAGAGGTGGGTAGAATGATTTTAACTTGATTTTGAGAGCTGCAGGTTGTCTTTCTTGTCTCTGAAAGCAGGAGAAAGCAAAATGGTACCCCAGTTTGTAGAATGTTCTGGAGTTCTCTGGTGAGAACCATATACTGGTTCATGGAGTGACTGTCTTACTCAGCTCTCGTTGGGATAAACTTCTATTGGGAAGTGGTATTTACCAGTTTTATCTCCAGGATATGAATTGTTGGGGCTGTAATAAACACAGATTATAAACCAACTGTAAAAGTTGGTTTTATTGCATTTCTGCATGATATAACACAAAAGCACTTGACCAAGGACTTCTGTTCTACAAAGAAGTACAGCTTACAATTTTGCACTTAGGAAGATGACTTGAAGCTATACAATCTGGAGCTTCATTCAGAGTATAGCTAGATTCAGGCCCTTGGTTTGATCCACTGTAGAGGGGAGACTCAGAAGCTGAATTTGAAGTGGAATAAAACTTGAATGTTTAAATGGCCCCAAAAGCTCAGCAGAGTTTTGATGTGGAATTATGCTTTGAACAGCATTAGCAATATTAGCAATCTTTTAATTACTGTGTGAGCCTCTTTCAGCAAGCCTGGAGTCAGAACACCATGCTGAGGCAGCATTCAAACAGAAATGATACATTCGGGGTAATAAAACTCTCATTGTTTCT